TCTAACACATTTAAAAAATTTGGTAGTTTTTTTTCTTTTTTGAAGAAGGGGTGGTAGTGGGGGGTGCCAAATCCAGGACCTGCCCCGGGTGCCACATGCCCAAGGTACGCCCCTGCCTTAAAAACAAGTCATGCCAAGAATTACATATTTTAAAAAGCAAATGAGAGTATTATGAACCATTGCTTTCAAATGGTTCATTACACGGGTTTCTTTCAGTCAGGACTGAGTTCACTAGCCAAGATGCAGCTAGGGCTCTTCTAGCAGATGGAGTGATTTTATTAAAAAGCTTTTGGGCATGTATGGAATAACCCTCTATTCACTTTTACACAACTATACAAAATAAAATGGAAAGCCTGGGAAGCAAAACCACCCAGGTATTTAGCTTAAAGGGTCTGAGAAAAACAGCCATCAGCAAACATCTCACCATATCCAAATATGAATCACTACTGGCCAAGACCACCACATATGTGACTATGGTCACAAAGTCTTTAACAACTGAATGAGGGGATTTTAAAGTTGGACTGAACAATGCTTCTCAGTGTATCCAGCGTTGAAGAACTTTGATAATTTTGCTTAATGTAGTTTTCCCCTTCCACTAGTAGATTGTGTAATGTAGTTTTTCATTAGCTAAGATGGTGGTTTTTACTTCCTACGAACTCTTACACATTGTCACATATTCATCCTCACCTTACTATATCTGTGAAGGAAATGGCCTTCCTGACAATAATGGAAGTGCCACTCGGCAGCCCTCTGCCAGTATACCGGCACAGCTCTCTACTTGTGAGTTGAATAATACCATCTATTGTCTATATTGAATTAACAGAAAGCACTATGTCCTGTCTCCTTTTTGTTTTTATAGATCTATATGCAACATTTCTATTTAAAATTTGCATATAAGTATCATTTGTGTGTATGCACATTGAGGTGTATTGATTGTCTTTTTATTACATATGTTTTCATATGTGCCATTACAGAGAGATCCTTGGCTTGTCACACAATAAATTGATCCAACCCACCTTAAATTGATCCCACCCAAGGAAAAACAAACATGAGGAATGAGGACACTGAGGATATTTAATTTCATTGAAACATAAACACAATCAGTATGTATATTAAACAATGCAGAGAATGTGATATATTTCTGACATATACAGGGAGTGCAGAATTATTAGGCAAGTTGTATTTTTGAGGATTAATTTTATTATTGAACAACAACCATGTTCTCAATGAACCCAAAAACTCATTAATATCAAAGCTGAATATTTTTGGAAGTAGTTTTTAGTTTGTTTTTAGTTTTAGCTATGTTAGGGGGATATCTGTGTGTGCAGGTGACTATTACTGTGCATAATTATTAGGCAACTTAACAAAAAACAAATATATACCCATTTCAATTATTTATTATTACCAGTGAAACCAATATAACATCTCAACATTCACAAATATACATTTCTGACATTCAAAAACAAAACAAAAACAAATCAGTGACCAATATAGCCACCTTTCTTTGCAAGGACACTCAAAAGCCTGCCATCCATGGATTCTGTCAGTGTTTTGATCTGTTCACCATCAACATTGTGTGCAGCAGCAACCACAGCCTCCCAGACACTGTTCAGAGAGGTGTACTGTTTTCCCTCCTTGTAAATCTCACATTTGATGATGGACCACAGGTTCTCAATGGGGTTCAGATCAGGTGAACAAGGAGGCCATGTCATTAGATTTTCTTCTTTTATACCCTTTCTTGCCAGCCACGCTGTGGAGTACTTGGACGCGTGTGATGGAGCATTGTCCTGCATGAAAACCATGTTTTTCTTGAAGGATGCAGACTTCTTCCTGTACCACTGCTTGAAGAAGGTGTCTTCCAGGAACTGGCAGTAGGACTGGGAGTTGAGCTTGACTCCATCCTCAACCCGAAAAGGCCCCACAAGCTCATCTTTGATGATACCAGCCCAAACCAGTACTCCACCTCCACCTTGTTGGCGTCTGAGTCGGACTGGAGCTCTCTGCCCTTTACCAATCCAGCCACGGGCCCATCCATCTGGCCCATCAAGACTCACTCTCATTTCATCAGTCCATAAAACCTTAGAAAAATCAGTCTTGAGATATTTCTTGGCCCAGTCTTGACGTTTCAGCTTGTGTGTCTTGTTCAGTGGTGGTCGTCTTTCAGCCTTTCTTACCTTGGCCATGTCTCTGAGTATTGCACACCTTGTGCTTTTGGGCACTCCAGTGATGTTGCAGCTCTGAAATATGGCCAAACTGGTGGCAAGTGGCATCGTGGCAGCTGCACGCTTGACTTTTCTCAGTTCATGGGCAGTTATTTTGCGCCTTGGTTTTTCCACACGCTTCTTGCGACCCTGTTGACTATTTTGAATGAAACGCTTGATTGTTCGATGATCACGCTTCAGAAGCTTTGCAATTTTAAGAATGCTGCATCCCTCTGCAAGATATCTCACTATTTTTGACTTTTCTGAGCCTGTCAAGTCCTTCTTTTGACCCATTTTGCCAAAGGAAAGGAAGTTGCCTAATAATTATACACACCTGATATAGGGTGTTGATGTCATTAGACCACACCCCTTCTCATTACAGAGATGCACATCACCTAATATGCTTAATTGGTAGTAGGCTTTCGAGCCTATACAGCTTGGAGTAAGACAACATGCATAAAGAGGATGATGTGGTCAAAATACTCATTTGCCTAATAATTCTGCACTCCCTGTATATCTATTAAATTATTAAAGTGCAAAACACACTCTTATGCAAGCCAATGGGAAACAACACATTTAATGTAGATGTATAAGCTCAAACATCTCATGTCTCCGCCTTTGAATTATACATTAACCTCTTCAATATCCATAAATGTAAAAAGCTAAGATTAGATTCATGTAAATCAATGAATATTAATGAATATCTATTAAAATTTTGCATTACCATTTTCAGTGGCTATAATACATTCTCTAATGTGGTACTTAAAAGGCCCCGAAGCATGTCCAATTTATTATTTTCTACAATTACATTGAATCAAATGTATCCATTCCTTTCATTTTTGAATATGTAGCTTTTTAGAAAAAAAGTATCTAAAGAAATACATTTGCATAGCATGCATGCATGCAGGAAAACACTACATCACTATACAACTATAACCCTATGTAAGTTCCCCTAACCTTAAGCTCAATATAATCATATTATTAACCAACTCCGGCATTGTCCAAGCTAGCCCTTGAAATAGCCATCTTCAGCATGTGTATATTTTAAAAAGGCATGCTTTAAGCATTAAAACAACTTTAGTTTAATGATGCAGTTTTGGTGTACAGACCATGCCCCAGCAATCTTAATGCTCAATTATCTGCTGTTTACAGGGCAGTCTTTAACGCGGGGCAAAAGAGGCAGCTGCCCCGGGCCCAGTTGCACCTGGGGGGAACTGTAAGTATTTGCAGTAATTCACTGGAATAAGAAGATATATTACTTGTTTTATGGTGGTAAGGGAGCTGGGTGGTTAGAGGGGGTAGGAAAGAAGGAGTGGTTGGAGAAGGGGGAGGAAGGGGTGGATGAAGTGGGTAACGGGTTAGTAAAGTACAATCTGTACATTGTTTTAAAAACAAATCTGTAAAATACAAAATATTTGTGTCAGAAGTTGTGCTTTTTTAATTTTTAGAATAATGATACAGCCATTTTATTTCATACATTTGTGCTAATTTCTGTGCTGGTTGGAGGGGGTAAGGGGCAGTATTACACAATCTGTATATGTATAAAAAAAGTAATCTGCAAAGTACAAAACATTTGTGTCAGAAGTTGTGCTGTAAATCAAGCTAGGAATGTGCATAGTTAGTTTTTTTTAAATAAATTTTAGAATAATGATATAGACATTTTATTTCATACATTTGTGTTAATTCTTTGTTTTTTCTCTATATTCAAGGGACCAGAACCAGAACCACAACAGAACCACAACAGCTAAATATAGTATTTCTGGTGTCTATAGCATTTCTCTGCGGGTTTTTAAATGTAAACACTGCCTTCTCAGATGGCCACTAGATGTGCTTCCTAGTCCAGTGTTGCACAATGAGGAGATGCTGATTGGTGCAGTGCAGTGTTTTGCCAAGCATGCACAATAGCCTCCCAATGATTTCCTATGGGAAAGCAGTGGGTTGGCTGAGATATACTCACACACTGCACATTCCTGTGCATTGTATTGATGAGGTTATATTGCTATATAGCTTGTGATACACTCACACATTGCACTTTCATATGCATTTTATTGCTAAGGTGATCTGTGATGTACTTTCACATCGCACATTACTGTGAGTTGTATTGCTGTGGAGCTATGCGATACACTGATACACTGCACATTACTGTGAGTTGTATTGCTGTGGAGCTGTGGGATACACTGATATGCCACACATTACTGTGAGTTGTATTGCTGTGGAGGTGTGTGATACACCGATATGCTACACATTACTGTGAGTTGCATCATTTGATAAAAGAATAGGAAGAGTCACTGGCGTGCACATTTACTCTTACTTGTATACACGCATGCACCATAGTCTTAACTCGTCAGAGAGAAGATCCATGCAACAGTCATGAGCACAGTTACAGAAGGACAAAGCATGGAAGAACAGTGGGAGGAGGAAGGGGATTGGTGTGGTACATGCTCTTGTTAGATGCCTTCTGTGGGAACTATGCATCCATAGTAAGTTAAACAGCATGCTTTGCTGTAACATCAAAATTTGAAATATGCAAAAAGCCTTTTAAAATATATGTATTTTTCATTCTATTGACATTATTTATTTACTGCAGGTGTCAATCGCGTTTATTTATTCAGGGGCCTGACCGCCCTAAACATGTCCAAACCTCTGAGTGGTGCTCAGAAGCCGAAGAAGAAGCAGAAATTGGAGGGCAAAATATGCAGAATTCCAAAAATTACTGTTTTTCTTGTACCTACAAGTGGATCTTCTGCATAATCTTCTGTGTGTGGATCTTCTCAAGAACATGCTAGTACATCTTCTCAGGAAGAGATTCCTCCTCAAAGTGTACCTGAATATGGCTCTGAAGCTGACACAGTGGAGTCTTCTGATCAGCCCATGCCACTAGAAACTACTCCAGTTCCCATGGAAGTTGAGAAACCTAGCTTCCATACTGTCCAAGACGCTACTGCTGAAGCAGTTAATATACTGCCAGAAGCCATGGAAAAGTCAGGTTTCCTGACTGACATTGGTTTGTGGCACAACTTATCTACTCTGGTCCAAAAATGGAAATTCATCAGTAAGAAAACCTCTGGAACAACTGTGCAATGAAGGCTTTCCAAAATCATTTAAAGATGGATGTTGCTGAACAGCAGATATGTTTATTACTAACTGTCCCAATGGGGACAAAGTTGAACAGAAGTGGCTTTGTTACTCAAATAAGAGAGGCCGAATATACTGTTTTGACTGCAAATTATTTAGTTCATCAACAAATGCATTTTCCAGTGATGACTTCAGCGACTGGAAACATGCCAGTCAACGAACATCAACATCAGAGTCTCAACATCATATTCGCGCTGTGTTTGATACAGCCAAATTTTCAAAAATGAAAGGTCGGATTGACTATAAAATGCAGATTGAAGAACTGACCACCTATGGGCAATACCTATTAAAACATTTGCTTAGTGTAATCACTTTTCTTGCTGAGAGATGATTGGCTTTTAGAGGTGATTATCAGACTATTGGATCCCCACACAATGGCCACCATCTTGATATTTTGGAATTACTGTCAGAGTATGATGCATTCCCATCAAAACACATCTAAACAAAGGCGAACAAAGGCAAAGGATGTACATGTTATTTATCAGCAAATGTCTGTGAGGAACTCATACAAATTACTGGGGATAAGATCTTAGAAGTTGTTATCAACTATATTAAAATGGCAAAGTACTACTTGGTTTATGTGGATTCAGCAGAAGATTCTTCTCACACTGACCAACTTACAGTGATTTTTCGATACTTAGAAGGAAATCAACCTGTGGAGCATTTTGTTTTTTACCCTCAACAGGGCATAAAGGAGAAGAAATGGCAGATGTGCTCCTAGCATTTCTTAATAGGGTTAAACTTACCATACAAGAATGCTGTGGACAAAGTTACGACAATGCAAGCAACATGTCTGGCCACTACAAGGGTATGCAAGCAAAAAATGTTAATCTGAATAAATATGCTAAGTACATACCTTGTTTTGGACACTCATTAACCTTGTTGGAAAGGATGCTGCAAATTCGTGTAGTGAGACTCTAAGGGTTTTTAATTTTGTACAAGCTCTTTATACATTTTTTAATGGCTCAACTAGGCAGAACAAGAAGCTTAAAGACAAGCTTGATGAGAAAGACCTCTCTGTGTCCATGCCAAAAAAGCGAAGTGACGCACACTGGTCATGTCGTGCAGATGCTTGTCGAGCATTAGTCCATGGCTATTAAAATATAATGGATATTTTGTTTGAATTTTCAACTGACATTGAAGAAAAATCTTAATGCCGTAATACTGCAAAATTACTATTTGATCAGATGAGCAAACTTGAGATAGGTATTTTTGCAGAATTCTGGAACATTGTTTTCCAGCATTTCAACAGCAGCAGCAAAACTCTGCAGTCTGTTCAGCTGAACCTAAATTCTGCAGTTGGCGTTTTGAAATTGTTGAAAGATTTTATTAATGAACAGAGTACTAAATTTGATGCGTTCAAAGAAGCTGGCAAGTGTCTAACAGATACTGAATAGTATATTGTGGAACACAGCCGTCTTCAATGCTGACATGTCTGTTAGCAGCCAGTTGACCATGGACACAGTGAAGAAGCACAATTAATGCCAAAGGAGGCCTTTTATGCTAAGGACTTTTTCCCATGTGTTGACAAACATTGAATGTGTCTGGAACATGCCCTAGGAGCCTACAGTGAAGTGTGTGATTTATTTGGTTTCTTTACAAACTTTCCAGCGATGGACTCTGAATCCATTAAAATTGCAGCAGAAAAGTTGTCTGCTTTCTACAAGCATGAGCTGGGCACAACATTTGATGATGAGCTAATTCAATTTCAGTCATTCATTTCTCTTTTCCTGGATGAAAAACCAGATGATTGCAGCAATTCATGTACAATACAATTTATGACATGTATGTAAGAGATACCTTTCCAAACACGGGAATTGCTTTAAAAATCTACCTTACTTTAATGATCACTAACAGTTCAGGTGAACAATCTTTTTCAAAAATGAAATTGATAAAAAAAAACTTACAACGCACAGCCATGAGCCAGAGCCGTTTCACCAAACTATCTATAATGTCTGCTCAACCAGATATACTTTGCAGTCTTGATTTTACGAACATTACAAAGACATTTGCTGCTCAGAAAGCATGTAGACTCATTATTTAAGTTGCATTAAAATATTTCTTTACTTTTTTCATGTAAAAGTTCTCTGCACTTTACGTTAATGGTTGTCAAACTATTCTTTTATAATAATCTGCTACTGCAGCAGTTGGTGCCTAACAAGAATTATAATAATAAGGTTGACCATGTAACACTGGTACCCGATTCCCCATTCTACATATTGGAATGGGGAATGTGCACTTTATTTTTATTTATTTTTTAAATTCTTTATTTTTGTCATGCACAGGTAATAACACATTGATAGACAGTAGTGTGGCAGTCTAGATATTGGCAAATTTTTATGAGAACAGTTAACTGTTAGTTATTATATTTTTAATATATTTTTAATTCTGTGTAGACTGATGACATGTAATTCCTTTGCATGAATTGCAGAGTGTGGCTTAAGAATGTAAGCTGCAAAAGGTGGATGGTGTTGGTGCAAAACTAATAACAGAAACCAGGTTAAATTTCTAAATGTTCCTGCACCCTAACAAGTTGTGGACCTCTGTGGTGTCTGGGTAGTAAGACCAAGGTTAACTCAAGGTAAGGGCTCATGAATGTGACAACTGTGGTGCAGGATGGTTATAGGACAGATGATTCTTGAAGAACAATTAACAAAATCGGATAACTTGCTTTGGTGTCTCAAAATATTGAGTGGGACAGCTCCACCCAATGTTATGTATGTGGGTCAAAAAGATCAAAGTTGGGGGGGTGGTCAAGTGAGGTAACTGGGTTTTATCTTGCCTGGTTTTGACCAATATGGCCGCTCCGCCATGGGTAATAAAAAGAGAGTGAGCCCTAAGTGTAGCACAACTTTTAAACAAAACTAAAGCATGACAAAAAAGTAAATTAAAAGGGAGAGAAAGGGGACAAGCCCCAGAACCCATATTGCTGTTTTCAGATGGTAGCTACACCTGCTGCTCCTCAGGGTGCAGGAGTGAATGGGACCACTGTAGTGGGAGTGGGTCGAAGGTTAGGACCAGGTCCCAGGCTGGGTTTTTTTTTTTGGGGGGGGGGGTTTCCGCGTGTTGTGGCGTGATTGCATGCTAGGGTATGCGAGGGCAGGATCCAGGGGGCCTAAGTAAATTCTTGCCCAGGGTCCAATCAATATTAAAGATGGCCCTAGCCATTTAGGAGGTAATTTACTCTTTAGGTAGCCCTAGCCACACACCTCCTGGCTGTAAAGCACACAGCCAACAGGAAAACATGTGGTTTCATTTTCAATCAGCTCTTGCAGGTCAGTATATTTACTTCAGAATTCCATATCTTCTGCAGTGTTAATTGAACTTTATTCATACACATGATACTGTTAAAGGTGTTTTTGTACCTATATAATCACATTAACATAAATACTAATAAGAATAACAAGTTTAGTAATAGTGCATTCAACTACAGTAATGGCTGGCTTAAAATAATCTTATTTGTTCCAACCAATCGCATTGTTCTTGTCTAATAGTAATGTGATCTAACTCTTCTGCATTAAGGAAGACTAAACTTGTCGGGCTCCATCAATCATATCAAACTCTTATTGCAACGCACTAATGTGATTACTTCAATCACTGCTACAAGGCCAGTTTAAGTTACCCATCAGCTGCCTACTCACTCTTATATGATGTCCTTCACTCAAAACAGTTTTGTGTTTTGTTTTACAAAGGTATGCTTTTGAATTTGTTTTATCAATTACATAAATCTTTACATTCATTTGATAGTTAATAAACAATATGACTGTCCACTTGAGATTTAGGTAATTCAGATGATGTGTTTTTATTTTGATATTTATCTAGACAGTAAAATTAACATTTTTTTTTTTTATTTCTTTAGAAAAAAATGAAATGCTATTCAGATATAAGCCCAATGCCAAATATGTAAACTTTGATCAAATTATTTTTCCAATTTAATTTTAAAAGCATTTTTGGCAACAGCAACTGTTTTTTAGGTACTCGTGAATACTTGAGTAAATGGCATAACAGATTGTTACCAACATTTTAGAAATGCATTGCTATATTTATCATTTCATACATTTAAATAATCCATACTGAGTTAATATGATCATATAGAGTTGATCATATTAAGGGAAGTTGCAGACTTTGTTTTTCATCCACCACAGTAATTGGGAAAATAAAATAGAAATATAGTTGTATCATAATATTTTTTAAATCGGTGAAGAACTACCATGTGTTATGAAAAAAAATGCAATTCATCTGTATTACGCATTAGGTCATGAAATAGATTCTACACATCGAGATCTGAAAGTATTTTTCTTTTTGACACAAATGATTAATTCATAAAATCCCTCAGCACACGTGTTGTGGTTATGAGATTAAAGCCATTAAAATGGCCATTTGAGGCATCAATGTTAATTTAATACAACATAATCTGAGTTATAAAGTGACTGGAATTTGCTAGCATTTTCCTGCTGTAAAGTATATTAAATAAGACAGAAGTAAAGCTTGTTTTGCTTCTACTGAAAGAGCACTACATATTTGTGAAAGGAAGAAGAAGATTTTATCCATGACATTTGGTTAACACCATTGCTATGTTGTTGATGTTCCATACTATAATAAGGTGAGCACCGTAAGGAAGATTTATGAGAAAACAATTCTTTCTTACTTCATCTAGACACTGAACTCTATTCATCTCAAGGGCAATCTCTGTGAAAGGCTTTCAGAAGGTAGATTTTATGCTTTGCTCTTATTCACTTGAAAAGTGAGCTCTGATGTACCAATAAGACTTATCACACTGCAAAGTAAATTACAGAAACTGCCTTGTTAGATAAACAGGCTTATTTATATGGATGTAGTAACACATAGCTGACATCATTTGAAGAGTTATTGATGAATTGTTACTAATAGTTAAAAATAATAATATAAGGAACTAAC